ATTAAATCATCAGTCATGTGTAAAACTGCAAAATCATAAGTAATGTTTTTTTTTTTCCAGTTAATCATTAATATCATCATACAGACCTGACACATGTTGTTGGCTTTGGTTTGGAAGTGAAAGGATGCATCTTTAGCAGAGCATTTCTGTGAATTGAGAAAATCGCTCCAATGTTGATGTCTCTTTCTGAAGAAAGTACAGGAAAGGCAGGTTGACCAAGCAGACTGCAGACTTGTGTAGAAGCTGGCACAAAGACACTATGCACCACCACCAGCAGTAGCAGCAGTGACACAGTTCTCTTTGCCATGCCAGTAGTATGTATGTAGGGCAGGTACCTCTGAGACCTGGAACAGTGCTGCATTTTATCGTATCTTAAACTGTCCTGTGGGATTGGCATATTGAACCATTTACATATTTCATTATGGAGGAAACGGCATTCTGGGGAAAATTACAGTCTTGCTTACATGTCTCTTTGTAAAAGATATAATTTTGCACCATCTTAAAACAAGTTCTGAAAAGGCAAATTAAAGCTAAACAACAAAAGAATGTTTCATACATTTTTTGAAAGGGGTCATGAAATTGAAAAAATAAAAAATAAAAAATTACAATTACAAATTTGACCAAAAATGGGGTTTCACGAAATAACCTTTCTGTGCTACAAAGAACCTTTTGTGCAATGGAAAGGTTCTTTGGATATTAAAGGTTCTTCATGGAACCATACACCCTGCCAAAAAACTGTTTAAGAACCTTTATTTTTAAGAGTGTACTGGAAGAACCATCCATTTTATTGATACTTCAGTGACTGCCTCAAAATGCAGTAAAAAAGATAATCTCCAATACAATCTCTGAATATTTCAATAGCAATGGTGAGCTGAGGAGAACTAGCAACTGGCTAGACTCTAGGGCCAAAATATTGACAAGGAAGCTATCACCATTAATGCATTCATCATCACACTAACTAGTCTTCTACCACGCTGCAATCCATCACGTTCCCTAAGGTCGCAAAACTCTGGACTTTTGGTAGTACCTAGGATAGCAAAGTCCACTAAAGGAGGTAGAGCTTTTTCGCATTTGGTTCCAAAATCTGGAATAGCCTTCCTGATCATGTTCGGGGTTCAGACACACTCTCTCTTTTTAAATCTAGATTAAAGACACATCTCTTTGGCCAAGCATTCAAATAATGCATAACATAATCTAGTACTGCAGTTATATCTGATCAAATGCACATTATTATTCTTTAGACTTAATTTGCTGTAAAGTTGCTTTGCAACGATTTGTATCATGAAAAGCGCTATACAAATAAACTTGAATTGAATTGAATTGAATTGACTGTACCTCCTCAGCCCCCATATACTACTGACATCCAGCTATGGAGTTTTATCCTCTGTAGAGGACATTATTTTTTAGCGATTTCTCTGAGGCCTTGTCACAGTTGTCTGAATGTCCTGTAAAGAGCCCATTCAGGGCTTTTCAGAGATACCAAATGTTTGAATGTTTCACCATGACCACTCCCTCTCCTTGGTCTTCCCAGATAGCACACATACGTCGCGGGGACGTCTGTGCGATGTGTGCGTTTGCGTCTGGGAGACGTATTTTTTAGGGCGTTTGCTCACCTGGAATACATCGCATAGATGTCCTTTTCCGACGTTCAAGCGACATCCGGTGGACGTATTACAGACGTTAAATATTAGAATGTTACGTCTATTAGATGTCTGATTTACATAGCATAGACGTCGTTCTTAATTATACGTTTTAGACGTTCCTTCATATTTACCGCTATTGATAACAGCTGCAGTTACACTGATTATACATGCGTCTACACATATATGATAAGTATGATAACTAAACCAGAGTATTTTTCACTCAGAATGAAAGAACACAACATGCTGTTGAATGATTTGTATCATTTTATTAACAGTGAATGAAAATAAGCAGTCATTTAT